CCCGCTTTCAAGCCAGCTCGTTTGCTGCTCAAGATCCTCCCCGCGACGTTTTGGATTGTCTCGAGGAGGCCACCACGCTCGCTCTGTCTCAGACGGAACTGCTCAAGGAAGTTCCAGAGAAGCAGCGCGACGCCTCTCAGACTAAGGCCGTCAACAAGTATCGAGCCTATCTGATTTGGCATGAGTCCCTTGTCGCGGCGATCATCAGCCTGCGACAGGCTCAGGAGAGCATCCCACGTCCTGCTGCGACTCCGTCGTCGTCTGGGAAGGCCAAGGTATGATTCCCGGTCCTTGTCCAGATTTTCTTACGGATATTGTTGCACAGGCCGAAGACCCTGTTCCTGAGGCTTCAGGCTCAACTCCTGCCATCGACATTGATTCAGACGTCGAGATGGAGGCCCCCACTCCTGTTCAAGAGAAGGTGCGTCCGTCTTGAGTCTTTGCCGAACACAGGTTGATTATTCTCAGACCCCGCGACTATCTACTCGCAAGACCGTCGCAGGACGGTCCGGTTCTCGATCGGTCGACGGTTCTGGTCATGACGACTCCGTAGGGCTCGCGGACGTCTATGGGACTATCATTCGACTCATAGACGAGCACGATAGGTCGATGCGTCTTCTCAGCGCCAAAATGTCGAAACTTCACGCGGAGCAGATGGAGGCTCTAGGGAGCTGTCTCCAGAGTTTCCAGACGTGAGTTTCCATTCAGTCGCGGCGACTACATTTCTGACCAATTACCCAGCCATCGTTCGTTGTCACCGGCTCGAAGAGGCAGCGACTCAGCAACAGTACCACTGATGCGACCCCGGGTGAGTCTCGCAGTTTCACTTTCCTGTCGCGACACTTTTGCTAACTGATTGGTAGCGTCCGCGTCCGACCGAAGGTTTATTGCGGACCGAGTGCATCGACATCAATTGTACCGGTTGCGGCGGTCCATTCCACTCGAGCTCCTCATCGAGGAACGCGACTACGTCTCGTCGCGGCTAGAGGAATGGAAGACCGCGCTCAAGGACGTCAAGGAAGCCATTGACCTCTCGATGTCGAAGAATGCGGCCTAATCTTTTCATATTTTGTTCTATATGCACTCTCCTTCCATATGTCTCTCTTCTCTCATGTCACTTATTTATGAAGTCGCGTCTCTTCTTCTCGCGCACCTCCTTATGACCTTTTTCTCTTAGATACAACCCAGTATAGTCCTTAGGTACCAGCTAGCACCCAAGCAATATACTGACTTCTGTCTAAAACTGAGAGAAGCGACGTCTTGTCGTGCGAGAGCCTGCCGCGACAATTATTTGCGCGCCAGACTTTCACTCGACAGAAGCTGGATCCTCTACAGGATCGTCGTCGTCGTCACTATCCGAGTTCTTGAGTTTCACCCTTCGAACTGGTAGTCGCGGACGTCAGATATTTCCTCCACCAACTCATCGAGTTTAGCAGGCGAAATATCTATCAGCTTTTTTATATCTTCAGAGAGTGTCAATTTCTGTCTTGCCAAATAGGGTATTACTCGGAACGCCGCGACTTTCGCATGGAACATCGCGCCGTTCATTTCACAGACCAAGTAAGAACCTCCTTTGGTCTTTCGAACTACAATCATGGGCCCAAGATATCTCGCTTTCATCTTGTTGTCCAGTGATTTTTCAATAGCTGTGTTCCTGACCAACACTAAGTCCCCTGGTACAAAATTGTAATCTTTGATCACATGCTTGTACTCGAGTTCGTAGCGTTGAACCATCTTTAGTTTGGCGTCGCTGACGCGGCTACGCATATCTTCAATATGGTCTGCATGCTTAGCTAGAGCGCGTGCCCTGAGACCAATGAGATCCGCAGAGTCGACGATCCGGTCAGGATATTCGACTAGCCACGTAGCTTCGACTATATCCAGAGGGATGGTAGGGTGGGCCCCACATACTGCGAAGTACGGTGAGCAACCCAGCCCGCGACGCACTGTAATTCTATCTGCCCACAAGACTTGTGGGAAGAACCAAAACCATTTGGAGGCGTTTCCCCCTGTAGCTTTGTACAGTGACTGTCGAATGTCCCAATGACCTCTTTCAACAGTGCCATTCGCTTGGGAATTGTAAGGAGATATCCTTATTCCCTTGATGCCATATTTCTTCTGTAACCAATTCAACGCCGCGACAAATTGTCCTGCGTTGTCGGTTACAATCCACTTAGGGCACCCCCAGCGACACACTATGTCTTCGAGCAAGAAACGCGCTATTGCCTTGGCGTTGTCAGCCTGCAGCGGTCGCGCTTCCACGTAGCGGGTCAAAGAATCCCTTGCTGCGACGACATATCTGTATCCGTTGGAAGGCGTTCCCATAATCATGACGTCCGTATGTATCTTCTGAAATACACTTGGAGTCATCGTCGGCGTCGGTGGAGTGCGGAGGAGAGTTTTCTGGCGGACTTGGCAGCTATGACAAGTCTTTATCCACCAGTCGACGTCTCTTTCCATCTCTGGCCACCAAAACCGAGTTTCCAACAGGCTTTTAGTGCTGAAAAGACCTTTATGACCCAGCGCGTCGTGACACGCCTTCATCATATAAGTCCTGTGGTGTTTGTCCACGACCAGTCTATGAATCCCATTGGTCGATCTCTTGTACATTTTTCCATCTTTGAGGAAAAACTGTCGCGAGAATTTGAGAAACGATCTGAACCGTTTGTCTGTCATTTCAGGCCTTACAGAAGTGTCTTTCAGCCACTTCCTAGCCATTACCAACTTATTGTCCTGTTCGATCCCTGTGCCAGTCCGGTGATCCTCAATATAGGGATCCTCAGGATTGTCGCGCAGTTCAAGATCAGGCAAAAGTGGTTCTCCGTTTGCCACATCGTTCAACATGAAGACTGGGACGACGAGCCCTTGAGCGTCATATGCGTCTTTGACGCGCCGATTCTCAGCGCGACGAGAGTCGCAAGCTTCGACGAGTTCTTTGGATATGTCGTCGACCGACTCAGCACACCCGACCATAGAGTTAAGGTAGCCACCTCTGGTGTCAATATCCCTTTTGAACTCTTCAAAGTCTAATGGTTGTTCTGTGTCGTAGTCCCAATTCTCGTTGTTCTCTGGTGGTGGCTCGTCGAAGATTTCCTCTTCGTCATTGGGATACTCTTCATCTCCAGGTGCAGGTCGTCGTCGCGACAAGCCATCTGGTGAGAAGGTGATTCCTCTGACATGTTTCAAGGTAAACTGAAACATGAGGATCTCCTCAGCCCAACGGTTGATATTTGCATTTGGCAGGTTACCAACGTTCCTTAGCATGCCTGCCAAGTACAGCGCGTCGGTTTCGACTACCAATTTTCTACAACCAAGAAGCCAGTGAACCATGGCTTGAAGCACGCGCTTCACACCATAAAGTTCACGCTTCGGTTGAGAAAACCTAGCTTCTCTTTCTGTAAGTGGGATACTCCCAAATTTCGCGTAATAGACTTTCTTTGGATCGTCTGGGTCGCGCTGGTAGATTTCGAAACCCGCGGCCATCCAGGATGTGTCTATTGCGACGACAATCTCAGAGTCCCACTCGTAGTTCAGAGGCTTAAGCGACGGACAGACTTGTATCGCGTCTTTAAGTCTTTGAAATGCGAGTTTCTGTTTGTCACCCCATTCAAAATGCGCATTCTTGTTCACCAGTCTCTGAATTGGTCGCGCCATTTCAGAAAATCCTCTAATGAACATCCGCATGACCCCAATCGTGCCCATGAATTGTCGAACCTCCGAGACGTCTCTCAAGTCTGGCCAACGCATGATTACACCAACTCTGTCCGCGTCAGGTTTTCTACCTTCAAACGAACAGATATGGCCAACCACAGCGAACTCGTCGGCGCAAACCACCGACTTGGTACCAGACAGAGTCGCGCCACAGTAGCCGATTCTGTGCACGACGCGGTTCACATTCTGAAAGTGTTCCCATACGAAGCGACGGATCCCGGGATTTTCTGGAATCGTTTCACAGGTTCCATCGGGTAACAGATACCTGGTTCCAGGTCCTCGAACGGGTACGTCGTCGATGTATGGAATAGTAACATGAGGGATTTCGTCTTTCAAAATGAAAGTAACGTCCTCATGGAATATGGGTACTGAGTTGGTCCATCCTTGTGGGAGTTTGACCAACCTCAGCGCACCGAACGGTGACTGGAATGTAGTCAAGTCGCGACTAGCTGGATCGATGTCACGCTGGTCGTAGCCTGAGTACAAATCTAGCGCAGCACCACAGGCGCGACCGGCGAAGTGGTTGGCTAACTCCTCTGTCGCGGGTGGCAACCCTGAATGTGCGATAGTAATTGCATTGAGTGGTTCTAGCGAGTGCACCAGTCTGATACTCTTCCCATCCTTCTTAAGTACAGCAAAGAACTTGCTTCGATAAGAGGAATTGGAAGGCTCATAGACCTGGGCCGCGATTTTGTCTTTTATGACCTTGCACACTTGATCAAACATGCCGCGAGGTATAGGAATATTTCCTTCGCGATATGCCGTATGGGGAACTGTCGCGATCTTGACAGGAGGAAATATGTCCTGTCTCAATGCGCCACGCTCTTCATCATTGAACGCGAAACTTTGATTGTGAAGCATATAGAAGTGCATGAGCAACTTCCGTTCTTCTGGTAATAAGAAGTCTCCTTTGTGTAACTTGTCCACAATATCCCTGCGTTCCGTCGTGAATCTACCAGTTGGGGTAAAATCAGGTGGTCGCGGGTTTAGAGTAGGTAGCGTATCCAAGGGATCTCCCACCATTTCTCGAATTATTCGGTCGTCCTCAGAACCCATAGTGTACACTGGTCTGACTTTCTGGTCTACAGGTTTGTATTTCTTCCCTGCGAACACAGAGTATTTGTCGCGACTAGAAGAGTCGTCGTCTAGTACACTCCAAGTACCAACAGTCAGTTTTTCCGTTGCCACGTCTGAGAGTCTTTCATTCATATAGGAATGAAACAAAGTCGACGCAGCGACGTCTTTCTTCATTTCCTTGTCCTCTTTCGACGACAAGATATATGCTTCTACTAGCTCAGTTTGGGTAAACTGGCCACTAGAACGCGGCTTTCTTAGATCCTCGAACACCACATTCCCATCCTTTCCCAACGACACAGTCACCGCGACTTCTTCTCCTTGACTCAACCTGGTCAATTCCTCGAAGCTCTTTGAAAATCCCGTTCAGGGTTCGGTTCGTCTGGACTGGTCGTCGGTTTCGACGAACTGTAGGGCTCGGTAGATCCGTCGTTGTTTTTGGTGTTACGCGGCAAGTCGTCTGCACGACGTGGCTGCGTAGCCATTGCACAACGTGTCTTTAAATTGGGATCGCGCATGGTGATTATCTGGCTGCCGTCAGCCGCGTTCTTGATATTGCTTTCAGTCGCGATATCGAACGGTCTGCCGAGCAACACCTTATAAGCTGGACTTTCCAAAATGTGCACTTGCAGGTAGACCAGGATGGTCCCAAACCTGAAGGGTACATTTCTCGCTAATCCCAGTGACTTAGAGATAGATCCATTTGCACTTTCCATATAGATGACGACTTTTGGGTCCCAGCTCAATTGTGCGTCGACGGCCTCTGAGAAAGCCATCGATACAATCTGAGATCCACTGTCTAGGATGCAGTCCGCGTCGAGACGCGCGTTAATCCGTCCGTTTATCGTTCTGAGAGCAGCCGACAAATCACCAACATAGACATGTCTTGGGTTCTCATTAGAGGGTATCGACTCCAAGTACATCTCATATGGGTCCGTCGCGACAACTGCGCCAATGGGAATTTCTCCTTCAACTGTGTTATGATAGAACACAGGCTCGGGCAATTCCTTAGCACTGACTAGGTTGTAGCTCAGTTCTCCATCCCAGACGTCTTCAACGACGCGGCCAGTTTCTTGAAGCATGGACTTCTGAACCGGTACTCGTTTCTTCGAAGAGTCCTTTAGAATGGAGTCGCGGACAGTCCCCGAAACTGCTAGGAGTTCACCCACAGTGACGTCGACTGACGCATTTTTCATTTTGTCGTAGACTGCTTCTGCCACAGCCTTCTTTTGAATCGGTGCACGCAACTGGTATTTATCTGGAACGCGCGCTTTTGAAGAATGTACTGGTTCTTGTAGAACGGGCTTGACTTTCTCAAACGGTAGTTCCTTTCTCTTTTCGACGTTGTCGCGCACTGATTCCTCATCATCGTCGCTATCGCTAACTTCTTCAATAATCACAGGTTTTCTCGGTTTCTCTCGTCGCTCAGCTCGTTTATCATGGTCCTCAGAGGGCTTGGCTGAGTTTGTGGGTTTAGCCCCCTTCCTTGAACCATTTAGAAACCCGAGTTGTTATCGTCGCGCTCAGGTTGGCTATTCGCACCACGACGGGTTTGAATGAACTGCTCCTGAGTCTGAGGATAACCACTGTTCATGTTGTTGAAGTAGCCGGCCATGGCGTCGGTCATGGCTTTCTGCATGAATTGGCCCATGGCACTTTCCATTGCATTGCTGGTTGAACCAGATGCAGTTCTGTGAGTCTTTGGCTCAGCGCGACTCTCTGGGGTTGGTCGCGACGACTTCCTCTCGTATTGGATGAGTTGACTTCGAAGGGAGCGTATTTCATCTGCCACTTCTTCAGGGTAGTCGGACATATCATCATTGTCGCGGCTATCGAACTGATCCAAGTAGTAGGAGTCCTGGAAGTTGACGGATTTGCCCTTCTTCTTCCAATAAGCCTCTACTCGTTGTCCCTGAGTCCCTTCTCCATTTGGTAGGAAACTGTCGTCGAAGAGCCTCCACATCCCTTTGGTGTCGACTTTGAGAAGGTTTTTCTCAATGTGAGACCTCTTGAGCGGGCACTCGTTCGACCAGTGACCAGTTTGTCCACAGTAGCGACAGTCGTTGTTCCGTGCGGCAGCTCCTCCTTGTACGCGACTTTCAAAGTGGGGCACAGAAGAGTTGTTGCCTACTGGCCGCGACCGCTGTATAGGCGCTTCGCGAGCAGTCTGTACGAACGTCTTCAGCGCTTCCTGCAACTGAGTCTGTAGCTCTTTTTGGTGTAGAAGAAATGAGTCCTTCAAGTTAGAAATCGAGTTTTCCAACTCCTCAACCTTAGCATGGTTGGGTGGACTAGTCTCATAGTCGAAGCGAACCTTTGGAGGTCGCGCGATTATGGGAATTTCGTCTTCGTTACTCAACGTCGACGCCATTTCTTCCGCCATTGTCATTAGCTCTTTCAGCTGGATGGGGTCGTCCTGCCGGTTGACTCCAGTCGCGGGGACATTAGCATTTGCTATCCCAGCGCGAGTTTGGTAGCGCTTATTGAATACTTGACTCGTAGCCAAAGCGTTCCTCAAGACGGTACTGAACTCAGAGTCCAAAGTACGCATGTAGCGTTCACACGCGACTTTGTTGGTAATAATGGCAGGAGGGACTGACAGTCGCTTGTAGTGACTGTACATCTGAAGGCCGAAGCGCTTCAAATCTCCCTCATCCGTGATTTTGATTCCACGGTTCTCGCGACAGAGTCTATCTAGATCTGCCATGGTCCCCGTTTTTCGCTTGGATACCTCAGGGTATCCTTTTAATATTTCGGCCTCGAACTCCGCGACAGTTTTCGTGTCGTCGGAATAGGTATCGAGACCTTCCCATACGTCCATCACTTGCCGCGACGGCAAATAACGGATGTACATGCTTTTTGCTTGTTTGACATCTGTGATGCCACCATCCTCCACGATCTGCGCGCAGTGACGCAAATATGCCTCAATCGACAGGGGATCCTTTTCATCAAGTATAGGTCTACTTGTGTCCCAAGGTTGAGGGATTTTGAACCCAGTCTTTGGAGCCATAGTTGTCGCGACTGAAGTCACAGGGGAAGTAGGGATGTTGTTAGAATTCGTGTTTGTAGCGGTGACGCTACTAGACAATTCTGAGAGAGTTTGTGAGCTAGTCTGAGATCGATTGATTGTCGTCGAACTCGAAGTAGCCGCGTCTAAAGCTGGAAGCTTCGACGTCGAATTCACTCTTTGTTTTCCTTTTGCCTTAGAAGGCAAGGGTGGTAGATACAAAGGTGTTTTATGTCTTGCAGACCTTCGTGGTTTTTCGAAAGGTCCTGAAGTTGAAGCGTTTCCTTCAGTCTCAATCTCCGCTTGGTCCTCAAGAGGTCGCGCAGGAGCTTGGGATCGAAATAAACTGCTTCGCGGGATAAACCCTTGGTCTCTATCCGACGTCGCGGTAAAGAATCCGGTTTGTTGATTTTTAAAGTTTATGAAACTTTAGAAGCCCCTCGCGGTGGGCTCCAGATGAAATGCTGAGGGCGTGCTCACAAGTGAATCTACTATGAAAGTAAACCCAAATATAAACACGTTCACACTCCTCGTAATCAGCTTCTCAGTGTGTGAAAGATGCGAGGGCTTCGGGGTGGACAGAGCACCAGTATCACAACTCTCAATAGACGCAGATCCAATAGTCGCGGAGACGGAGTCGACGACAAGAATATATATATATAGCAAACAATGGTGTCTCAACCAATATCTTCTATACGATCACAACCAACACTAATCCAATCTACAACCAACAATATAACAAGTCAGAACTTAATACGAAGTATTAAGATCCCTTGTAGCGACAGCGTCCAGATGGTGACGCAAAGCCCAAATATCAAGTCGACGCACTGCCAACTGATACAACCAATATACTGAGTCGACGCACTGCCAACTAGTAAACAAAAATGTCGAGTCGACGCACTGCCAACTGACACAACCAAAAGTACTGAGTCGACGCACTGCCAACTAGTAAACCAAAATGCCGCGTCGACGCACTGCCAACTAACAGCCAATATCCAATGTCCAAAACCCGAGCACAACTTGTCGACGCACTGCCAAGCAAGAAGTGTGGAACCAAAGTTCTCAAGTCGACGCACTGCCAACTGACCAAAACAACCCGAGCACAACTAGTCGACGCACTGCCAAGCTAGAGGTGTGGAACGATCTCAACAAAGCCCGAAGGCGACGACACTAAATGCCGCGACTAAACCAGATGCGGCGAATCCGACTTTCTGATGTCTCAACTCAAACTCAAATCACAGTAGCTACAAGTGCTCAGGGAGCAACTCGTCGCGACCGGGCAGGGGTAGCAGAACTTCTTAGGGTGGAATCACGCGGCACGCAAATTGTACAAAACAATCTGAAATGAGAGTGATTCACAGTCCGGGGGAAAGCTTTCTAAATACAAAGAGACGACGTGCTACTTATACTGTCTACGACGCTGCTTAGTAAAGTCCTGTACAACTGCATAGTAGCTACGCTATCTAAGATTGGTTGCCTTTTAGGGTAATTGAAAAGTTGAACGATCGGACAGGTCCTGAGTGATCAGGACCCCGCCCCATAGTCCATATGATACTTTTGATGTGGGTCAACCCACCGCGTCATACTTTTGGAATATGACGTGTTGGATTGGCCAACGAGTATGTCTTGGCAAGTGAGACCAACGTGGGCGCCCCAAGAAGCCGTATGGCTCTAGGCACGCCAGTCGTCCCCCACATGGTTCGGTTCATGGATCTAGCCGTGTCGATTTTAGTGTGTTTGGGTATGGACGCGACTCGCCGTGACACTTGGGAGTGTCACCGCGACGCGTCCACAATGTCCCGTGATCGAATGGATCCTGACATGTGACAAGTCGTCGTCGTGGCATGATCTGAGGGAACGTCCAACTCAAAACCGGGAGTTGCCGCGACAAGATGGTTTAAGTCTCGTAACGCCAAGTCCTGTCCAGTAATAGTTCTATTATTGAGAACGTCGCGCATTGCTCAGTCCTTCAGCCCAAGTTCCCATCTGCAGGGAATGACCCTTTTTGAGAAGTCGACGCAACGACAGATCCCTTTTGGGGAATGGTCGCGGTCCAAGCGTTCGTCACTAATGGCCCTGAGCCTGGTATAGACTCATAAGACCAGTTCCACAGTAGTGGTCTGACTGCCTTGCTATCGTCGACACTATCCACAGTCGTCGACTGGGCAGTAGACCCTTAAGTCCTACTGAGCGCAACACTGTCAACCGCGACACGATACACCGAGTGGTTCAGGAGTAAACTCTGTAAAAGCGCAAAAATACGCCCTTACAGAGCTGGTGCAGAGCGCGTCTGGTAGCCAGCCTATCACCGGAGCTTCTCGTTGAACAGTGGTGAGAGGAACAGGATTGTAATCTCGGAATCTGGCTGGGAGTGCACGAATTCGAGTTGGTCTATTTGCAGCACTGGTTGGCACAGCCGTCGGGGGTGGAGGGATTGGTGCTGGTGGTAAGGTGGTCTGTTCGGGAATGGGATCGGGCTCGAATGGGAGTCCACCTTCATTTGGCCTCGGGCTCAGACTCGGAGATGCCGCTCTGTTATCATGATGATGATTAGGTGGATTGACGGGAAGACTGTGCTCTCGACTTGGAGGCGGAGACTGCGATGGATTGCGAACAGAGGAAGGTGTAGAGGACTGTACACAGTCAAGATGATCAGCCTGCAAGTCACGGTGGTAGTTCCCTTCAGGGCAGGCCACGTACTGGTGATATCTGACTCTTTCGCCAATGTCCCGTCTGAGATCTCGATGATGGTGACAGAGTCCGCTTCAATGAGGTCCGAGCCGCAGGTGCGGATGAGTTGGACACGGCACTGGAAGCTGCAGCCAATGTTCTTGCTTGACGGGTTCGGATTACTGAGGCTTGATGCACAATGTAGTGGGAACAGTCGCTGCGATGCTTTGTGCATGGGCCGGATGTCTTGAATGTCTTGGAGCAGTCGGGTGCACCACACGGGAACATTACACACAGATAGTAAGAGTGATTTGGATAGAGAATACACACTTGTAGTGTAAACACAGCCGTCGGTCAATTCAGACCATGGTCGTAAAGGCAGAGGGACTCCAGAGATCGTTGATCGGGGCCTCTTGTGAATTTCAAAGATTGCCCGATCGCTGGGCCAATCACGAGACGCGTTCCACCGCGACCGCGTTTGTTTATTTTGATGTGCCGGCTGAGGGGTATAAGGAGAGAACGCACCAGTAGAACCTGGGCCACTGCACCTTACTCTCCCCACCATGAGTCCTCGCTCCCATTCCCGTTCACGCTCCCGTTCCCGCCCCGAATCCCGCCCCCAATCACGGTCCCGTTCCCGTTCCCAGAGGACTCCATCACACACGCGTCGGCCCAGGTCGCGCTCCCATGATCGTCGGTATGATCACCGAAGTTCTCGTAGTCGGTCCCCCCGTCCTCGCCACCGCCACAGCAACTCGAGTAATCGCCGACACTCCTCCCCCGTCCATCCTCCATCCTCCTCCTCTCCTTCTCGTTCATCCAGCCCGTCCAGTGGCGAGAATTACTGGCGGGCAAAGTACTTTGCCGAGCAAGCAAAGAATGCTGAGAAACTGAGCCGAAGGAAGACAAAAGAGTGAGTGGTTGTCCTGACACGTACAGAACACTCACCGGAGTCAACAGACGGAGTAGCAAAGCGACTGAAGACACACCCAGAGGCCTGCGAATGCTTATGGATATCCACCTCGACATTGCAACCCTGGTGGAGACATCAGACGAATATGAGCATGATCGCCAACCGCGCCCTGACTTTGACGAGTACACCGATGGGTTGTCAGAACAACAGATAGAGGAGCTGGCTGCAGTACGGCCGTAAGCACTTGGCATCGCATTCAGACATGGTTGCACATTGCTCACCTGGTATACACAGACTCGAGCGCATCTATCAAGCAAGGAAGATCTTTCGCAAACTCATGCCCGCGTTGGAGAGGAAGATTGTGATGGAGGTGGCTCCTGATCCAAGCCTGTCTGAGAAGGAGTCGGAGGCGCTTGCGCAGGCACGCGCAATGGAACTCATCGCGCTCTATAAGGTGGTGAGTACCGTGACTGGCCTGTTATTGTCAAACACGTACACTGACGAGACCGCCATGAAAGGCAAACAAAGCGGGAAATGATGCCAAGAGTCGCAACGTGGGGACTGCAACAGCTATTCTTGCGCAGTGTCTGAACGTCGACCGTGACCGTCCCGAAATCCGCGTCTTAGATCATAGCCCATCCACACAGGACAAAGAGGGGCGCACTGTTCGTGGCTACGCGCCAACACTCCGCGAGAAGTCACGCCACAACCGTGGGCTTCAGCACGATATCTGTGGAGGATTGTTGACGAGTATAAAGGATGATTGGGCGGTTGAGAGGTGTGTACTATTTGCACATGTAGCACTTCACTCATCATCATCACCTCGTGCTTCCATCCACAGCGTTCGCTCGAAGATCCGTGCTTTTGGCGACACATCCAGCAGCAACAAGAATGATGACTCCGAAATGCCCTCACCTGATGACAACGAAGCTGACAATGAGCAAAGCGATGACGATGACTTTCACTTTCGCCTGTTCTATGAATTGTGCAGAGGAGATAGCAGCAACCCGCTCAAGGGTTTTCTGATGAATCGGTATCTAGTACTGGTTCGTAACATGCCGCATGTCTGCACTGTCTGCAAGCACTGATTCACTCGTTCGAGCAGATCTATAAAGCCATCTTCACCGGACCGTCGTCGGCTGACGTCGAAAACATGGATCCCTCAGACTGCAAGAGCAACGGGCATGGCTCTATGGCCACTATCTTACGTATGAACAACCAGGTGACACCCCGTTCGATTGCCTATGTAGCTGTTCTGGTGCGTGGTCTTCGTTGCATGCCGAATAGTCTCTGACCAGCATCAGGCCCACTTCTCCCTGACCAACGCTGTCCAGTGGAAGGACACCTACAACAACGTGTCGTATATTGGGCTGTATAACTACATTGTTGACTTCTTCGAGTGCCCTCGACCTGATACACCACATGGGCAACATCGCAGGAAACTGCTTGCGTGGTGGACCAAGTGCGTCTCTATCTAGGCTTCTGTTCGCTCAGCGTCTGATTATCCCTTGCCAACAGGGAAGTTTTTACCGATGCAGCAGCTTCGAGTACGTCACACACAGATGGATCTTCTTGCGGGAAGCCAAATGCGGGTCGCTCTATCGCGAAGATGCGCCAATGCGTTCCCGAGCTCTAGTTTATTCATTGTGTATAGAAAGCATCCATAATATGATTTGGAATTCAATATTCAATATTCAATTGTGATTTGCCTATTCTAGTAGTGAAACATGAGCACGTTCTGAAGCGGTCAGGATGAGTTGAGTCCTCAAGGAATGTGTAGTCGCGGCGTAACTAGCAGCGCGGATTGGCGGAGTGCGAGCAGGTGGATCGTGCTCACTATGAGCTCACGAGCGTCTGATGAGTCGATCCGCGAAACTGATGAGCGTTTGACAAGCGCGGATCAATTTGAGTGGCGTAAATGAGCGCTCGTGAGGCCCATCAGTCGCATGTCGGCTCCCGAGCGATCATCACTGATTGCGCGCGCTACCGGCAAATCACGAGCGCTGAGGCGTAGTTGCCCAATTTCCTGATGTTGCGCTGCGCCAGGACAGAGACTGCAAGCTTTCTCCGTTTCCGCGGTGGTGCAACTGGGAGTCGTTTCGGATTCGATGGCGCAGGGGGAACCACTGGTGACTGTGTTCTGTCCTCTCTCTCATCATCCTCTGACTCCAGATCAGACGCAAAGTCCTCCCAGTGATCGGATGCATAATCGACGAGGTCGGCGGGCTCGAAGGAAGTGGATGTGATGGTAGTCTCTTCAGGTGGTGTTGAATCCAGAGTCTTTGACAAGCCGAAGGCCGGGGCGGGCGCCTTTTGCGACGGCGCAAAGAAGGTGCGCATCATTACAACCTGAGGATCCTTCCTGATCTCGGCCTTAGATTATTGTCTCAAGGGCGGGCTCTGATTGAGAACTCACAAGACTTTCGCTGCTTGCCTCTGTTCCTCCCTCTCGCGTGCCTCCTTTGCCTTCCGGAACCTGGTGCGCTCAGAGTTCCCAAGATATCCAAGTTTCCGCACTGCTTCTGCCTTCTTCCACTCTGCAGTGCTCATGCCCATTTTCAGCGATCCCGTGGTCGACCTGGAGCCAGATTCATCTCGAAGCGCAGCAAGCTTGGTGGCGATCCCTTCCAGCATCTCTTCGTCAAACTCCGAGAGCTCCGAATCGGTGAAATCAGAGTCCTGCACTGCATAATCCTCGTCCTCTGAATCGAAATCACACTCCACCGGTGCCTCGACGCCTCCTTCGTATCCTATATCCCAGTCGTCTTCATGTGAGAGGTCCAAGAAATCGATTTCCACGATGTCGGGTACAGTTTCGATTATGGGGGCGGGCACCCCAGGGACCTCCAATTATTACGTAAAATGGCTTCGAGGCCCCCTCCGGAGGCCATCAAACCACCCCCTACCCCCCCTGATCGGAGGCCATCCTGGAGGCGCCTTCCTAATTGGTACTCTGCCCAGCCATTCATCCACAGCCAGCATGGTAGGCTAGGCATTGACCCGAGTGTTTATATATGCTGTAGTAGTCAGTATAAAGCCTCAGACAATGTCTTAGCTCACAAAAGCTTGTATTTCTTGCTTGCAAATGGTAGACCACTGGGCGCACAAAATTCGGGATTTGAGCACATGAGCACTCCTCAGGTGCATAGAGCGGCAGTATATATGTTAATTCGAGATTGAGCATGAGGTAGCTGTGCCCACACGCAAAAATGAGATGTTGCTGAAGGGGTGGTTTATGGCCTCCACAACCTCCCAGGGGCAGAAAAAAAGGTGTTGGGTAGCCCACAGGCCCTTGAATTCTGCTACAATAGATCAATTTGATGCTTATGCTTTGTCGAAACAACAGCCCAGCATGTAAATTGGATGCTGGAGCAGTGGCAGAACAAGCCTCCACCGCCTCCAGGGCTGGGGACCAAAAGCGGTTATTGTAGATTCAGCCACATAAACCATATTTCTGATGTTGTTTGTCCTAGTCAGAATTTCTGGGTATTCCAGAGAGACAGGTGGCTACATAGATCAGATGCTAGCACTAATAGCAGAACCGGCCTCCATGGCCTCCACAGCCAGTGACCAAAAGTGGTTTTTTGGGTTCAGCCACATAAACCATGTCCATGATGTTGAAGGTCTTCATTATAATTATGAGGGTCCTTTAGTTAAATGTCTCACTACATGAATCAGATGCTGGAGCAAATGGCAGAACTGGCCTCCGCTGCCTCCACAGGTTATCACTTGAAGAGTCTGAATGAGATGACAATGTAAGAGATATATATTCTCCTGGCTGACCGCATTCTGTCATTTCCACCTCTACATGCTAGTTTAATTGCTGCAGAATGTTAAAATTAGAGGATGGGAGACCCTGGAGGCACTGGAGGCACATGCAAGATCCAATCAATGTCATCAATATCATCAGTGCCATCAATAGCATCAAGAGCATCACCGATCATTGGTAGATTGATCAACCAATCAGATGATGAATAAACATCGAACATCTAGTATGTTCATTCCTGAGAGACACAGACTACATGTATGCTCATACTGAAAGTGGATTAGTGGTCCCAGGACATGCCCCAATGACATATTGCATGCTTGTCTCAGGGACATATGATTAAAAATCGGAGTTGGCAAATGAGCTGAAAGTCAACTGAAGATGAGTGGTACAGTGGAGTACTTTCAGCTCATTTGCCAACTCCGATTTTTAATCATATGTCCCTGAGACAAGCATGCAATATGTCATTGGGGCATGTCCTGGGACCACTAATCCACTTTCAGTATGAGCATACATGTAGTCTGTGTCTCTCAGGAATGAACATACTAGATGTTCGATGTTTATTCATCATCTGATTGGTTGATCAATCTACCAATGATCGGTGATGCTCTTGATGCTATTGATGGCACTGATGATATTGATGACATTGATTGGATCTTGCATGTGCCTCCAGTGCCTCCAGGGTCTCCCATCCTCTAATTTTAACATTCTGCAGCAATTAAACTAGCATGTAGAGGTGGAAATGACAGAATGCGGTCAGCCAGGAGAATATATATCTCTTACATTGTCATCTCATTCAGACTCTTCAAGTGATAACCTGTGGAGGCAGCGGAGGCCAGTTCTGCCATTTGCTCCAGCATCTGATTCATGTAGTGAGACATTTAACTAAAGGACCCTCATAATTATAATGAAGACCTTCAACATCATGGACATGGTTTATGTGGCTGAACCCAAAAAACCACTTTTGGTCACTGGCTGTGGAGGCCATGGAGGCCGGTTCTGCTATTAGTGCTAGCATCTGATCTATGTAGCCACCTGTCTCTCTGGAATACCCAGAAATTCTGACTAGGACAAACAACATCAGAAATATGGTTTATGTGGCTGAATCTACAATAACCGCTTTTGGTCCCCAGCCCTGGAGGCGGTGGAGGCTTGTTCTGCCACTGCTCCAGCATCCAATTTACATGCTGGGCTGTTGTTTCGACAAAGCATAAGCATCAAATTGATCTATTGTAGCAGAATTCAAGGGCCTGTGGGCTACCCAACACCTTTTTTTCTGCCCCTGGGAGGTTGTGGAGGCCATAAACCACCCCTTCAGCAACATCTCATTTTTGCGTGTGGGCACAGCTACCTCATGCTCAATCTCGAATTAACATATATACTGCCGCTCTATGCACCTGAGGAGTGCTCATGTGCTCAAATCCCGAATTTTGTGCGCCCAGTGGTCTACCATTTGCAAGCAAGAAATACAAGCTTTTGTGAGCTAAGACATTGTCTGAGGCTTTATACTGACTACTACAGCATATATAAACACTCGGGTCAATGCCTAGCCTACCATGCTGGCTGTGGATGAATGGCTGGGCAGAGTACCAATTAGGAAGGCGCCTCCAGGATGGCCTCCGATCAGGGGGGGTAGGGGGTGGTTTGATGGCCTCCGGAGGGGGCCTCGAAGCCATTTTACGTAATAATTGGAGGTCCCTGGGGTGGGGGCGGGTGATGGAGATCGACGGCGGTGCCGGCCTGCTCGTGCCCGCGCGGCTGCCTGATCCTGCTTTTTCTTTCGCTTGGAAGGCATGTATTCATTGCAAAAAGAGAAAAGTACTCTATTACAGTTGCTCGAGCTACTCAGACAGCCACATCAAATTTTGGCCGCGATCGGAGCCAATTTGGCAGTAAGACATCATTGGCGGTGACTAAGCCGCGCGCACCATACGTAGTTCCCAAATCACATCTCACATCTCCCGTTTACAATTGCCGCTCACGGTGGATTGACCCGACGTCCGCGCAAACTCCCATATTCCCAACTCCTGTATTTCCCGTTTTGTCTAATGGTACGCTTCCACCAGGACGCCGAACACGCCCTTGGGCCGGAGGGGCATCTTCTCGTTCCACACGCTGCAGTAGCTGGGCTCCTCGAACGGCGACCCGTCCCGAAACGTCGGAAGAGAAAGCAGCGATACGAGAGCCTCCCTGCCCTTCTTGACCCAACGAGCTCCTTCGTCTTGTTTGCGGATTTCCTGCTGTGCTTCGAGGCTCTCCTTCCGAGAATAACAGGAAATCGACCTACACGCCCGTGCTCACGCAGTGCCTTTCGCAGCCGAAGATCACTATGAAAAGGAAATGAGGGAGCTCTGGGCAGATCGAAAGGGTCTATCCCCTGCACGCTGAGCTGAGCTCGAAATGGAAACCGTTGCGCAACATGCTCTGCTACTCTACGCCGTATAAAACGTGACCGCAGACGACTCAGAGCACTCATCGAAGGTCTCCTCTGTCCATCGATACTCGGTTCTCATCAGTCCTTCGACAATGGTTCATCTCAACCTCCTCGCCGCTGTGTTCTCTGCCCTTGCGATGTTATCGACCGCTGCGTCCATCAGCAGGCCTGCCTCCGCCCGGGATCTCAGCGATGTCGAAATCATCACTACGCTCCCCGCTGGAGCCACCGCGTACGGATCGGACAACGACACGGACTGGACCGTCGCGTACGACGAGGACTTCAAGGCCCTCGGGCGCCTCAAGAACGAAGACTTCCATGCGCTGATCGACCCGAACAGTCACTCGACCCAACTGGCCTCCAGACAAGCGGTTCGTGGCCGCCGTTGCACCGAGCTCTCTGTCGGCGAGCTCCAAAGCCGTGCGTATGCGAATGCTGCGGTTCGTGCTTGGTTCGTTGATGGTCGTTTGTCTTGTCACAGTCCCTGCTTGGTCCGACCTCGATGGGTATGTCACGGGAAGTCTTGCCTCCCGGGGCAGATACAATGTCTGGACGAACTGGGTGGGCTTTCCTCAATGCGTGCCCGAGAGGTACAGTCTGAAGCGCTCCTGCAGGACGGTGCGGCTCGGGCCAGGGCCTGTGTCGCCGACGACCACGTCTCCGTCGAGCGCACGGGGCAAGCCCAATGCGACACCGGCGAGCAGGTCTTCGAGGGCGACCGCGTCGGCCGCGACGGTGTCATCACTCTCGCAGCCATGTCCGGATCGGCTACCACGTTCAAGGAATCCGTTACCCGTTAAGCATCAATGCGACCTGACTCCGATTACAAGCTCTGACATCTTCGTTCAGAACCTGCCAGCATCGGACTGAGCTACACCGCTTCGGATATCGACTTCGACATTCCCAGCATCGGCGAAGCGACCTCGCCCTACCGGGACTCTGCCTCGTTCTGCAACGAGTTTGGCAGGAGGTCCTGCAGCTTTCTCCAATGCTTGCTCTCGTGGCTGACTTGCTCTAGCTTCGAGAAGACCATCAGCAGGGAGAGCACTCGCGCCGTCGATGTCCGCTCGGAGCCGGGAGACTACTGCAGCATGATCGTCAGCCGCGACTTTCCTTCCCTCTGATTTCACGACGTTCTGACGAGCACTCAAGGTTGAAACCACCACTTGCTACCAGCAGTCCCGTGGTCGTGTAGGCTTCGTGGCGGATGGCTTTGTGCGCTTCGGCTTTGACTCTCGGGTCAGGGACCACTCCTACTGTCCGTGCTTCGGTCCTCGGATGCTTGCTTGCTCGTCTCACGCATCGCTTTCCTGCAGGGCACCTCCCCCTCGGCCGAGAGTCTGAGGACAGGCGCACGTCGTACATGGAGTTCGCCGGGTTGATCAACTCGCACGGATACGGCAACTACCGCTCCGAGTGCCGCCACTGAGAGCCTTCGAAAGTCTCATTAGAGCATTGGACTGCCTTTTAACTGTTTGTCTTACCTGTGCACTGGACTGTGTTTTGAAATGAACATTATTGTTGGGGATGATCTGCTGTCCACCTATGCTTTCGAGGGCTTCATTAGCATTTCCAGATGGATCTCGTTCGCTGAAAGCATCCACTCAGTCAGTCGATCCAAACTCCCCTGCTCCGCGGATCTCCTGCCTTGCCAAATTCCCCCCTTTCCCGCCCTACATTCTCTAAGAGTCCGCACGATATGTCTCACACTTCCGCACCGCTATAAGTATATGCGCCCATCCGACAACATGATAACATAACACCTTGCTTTTCTTCCTTCTTCACATCGCTCTAAAAGCTTGACTTGTGAGTACCCTCATCCTCACCTCATCCAAGTGACATCTCATCCCTGTCCAGACTTTGACAAAATGAGATTGTCCACTCTTGTTTCCGTCGTGCTTGCCTTGACCGGCGCTCACGCAAAGCCCATCTCGGTGAGCGTCAATCCCTACATAAACCAGGCTTACTCAACGTCCCACACAGCGCCGCGACTTCAGCCTCGCCTCGTACCAGGACGCCACTCCAGCCGAGCGCCGCGGCTTCCTCCTCGCAGTCAATGCGAGCAACATCGACCTCTCGCAGGACACGCTCGACAGCCTCAAAACCGTTCCCGCCGTCGAGAAGAAGATGGCCGACAGCGGGACGTCAGAGCTCACGAACGACTGGCTGAAAAAGTGGATCGTCGAGTTCCAGGACGAGGTGAAACAGGGGCAGGAAAGCGGGGATGCGGATGCGGGGTTGAGTCAGGTCTCAAAGCGACATGAGGAGGATTGCGGAGATGGAGAGGAACAGGAAACGAAGCGGGGGGACGACGACGGACAGGATGAAGAAACAGTTGCCGAGAAGCGGGACAACGACGAGGGCGAGGGCGAGGGCGAGGGCGAGGGCGAGGCAAGGAAGCGGGACGAAGGAGATGAGGGCGAGATCTTTGACAAGCGGGACGACGATGAAGCCACGGAGGACGCAGGTGACGCCGAGGCTGCCGAAGGGACCGATGAGGACACATCCGAATCGAAGAGGAGCGAAGACGACGAAGGAGATGCCGACAGTGACGTCGTCACCAAGCGTCAGGAAGCTGATGATGAGACCCCCGAGCTGGAAGAGCGGGATGATGAAGCCGAGGATTGAGGCTTCGTTTGTCTCCTAGAATCAGTGTGAAAGACCTGGCAATCATGATCGGCATTGTGTCTACTACAACTACAGCTTGGTTTCATTCTTGAGGTTAACGCGTGAAATCATTGTACTGCGGCATGCAGTGCGGTCCCAGGATGACATGTTCATTCGCCGTCGAGTCCTCATCTGGCTTAATCATCAGGAATGAGTTCTAACATGTCGAGACCATACTCACAGCTGTTCCACGATCTGACCGTGGGCGACTTCTTCACCAGACCACTCAGCTTCAACTCGAACGCACGTCCATTCCGAACCTGGCTGTGCGTAGTAGCGTACCCGCCGTATCCAGAATGCCCGTTGAAGCAGATCGGGATGCCCGACGAATCGGTGGAACGAGCACATCACGATTCTCCATGGTCATGGCCGGAAGTGACTGCCAGAACGTTCCCACCGTACGGTCCACCGTTGAGATGGCTGACGACGGCGTTCCAGAAAGGGAGATCGAGGCCAGTGTACACGTTGTTGAGAAATCCTTGCGCCGAGGGGTCGGGTTCATCGTCGTGATCTCCTGCGCTAGGCCTGTGGAGACTCGAGAGTGAGTGCCGTTGACCTTACTATCAGGAGATGACGCACAGAGGAGCCAAATGGTCGGCGTTTTGCACGGGGATATGGACAAAAACCTAGGCGGGAGGAAGACTCTCCCACTGGAAACTCTCTCAGTCTCATCGCTGCGTCCTCCCAAGAAGCACACACCACACGTTCCATCAGAGCGCTTTGCTGCTCGATGTAGGTCGGCACAGTGTTTTCATCAACCCAATAGTAATCCGCTGCGTCGAGAACAGGCCCAGCTTCTCCAGTGACGAACGACCGAGAGTCGAAGAACCACAGCACCACCGCGGGCTTGACATCCGATGCTTTGGCATACACAGGGACCCAGTAGTTGGCCAAGCCATACGGGCGGGGTCCGACATCCGACCGGGTGTACGACAGTGTCTTGCCGTGTTGGGCAATCTCGTAGCTGGTGGGACGGAGTGAGGCGGACGTTCACTCGAAGTAAATCGAGGAGCACACTTGATCTCCTCCTCGTGTGCGATGTTGACCGAGTTGTCGTGCTGCAAAGGCTCGGGTTCTGTCGCGTAGGAATGGAGAAGGGTGACGGACGTTCCCGTGGATAGACGCAAATGGGATGCTCCTCTCCACAGTAGGCGCCCAAACCTGGTCCAGGTACTTGGTCGCGTTCTCCTTAGAGAGGTTCTCGCCGGTAAGCAAGTCTCTGTTGAACACCCTAGACTATCTCACATGGGCCTTGACGCGAAACTGCTCGCACGCACACGAAGTCGGGACGCTCGTTGTCCAACACGACACTATGCGCATGGGAGGTGTTGACGTCCTGTTGTGGGCCCCAGTCGACGTCCTCCCCCTACCCAAAATGCGTATCCGAGAACGACACGATCTGCCGGCGATCTTGTCAGGAACCGCTGTGCTGAGGCATGCACAGTACGCCCCCACGCACTTTGAACGTCTTCTTGGCTCCAAAGATCAGCTTCGGCTTGCTGGAGAGCACGCCCAGCAGCCCAGCCGAGAAGCTGCTCGTGAGCGGGGCGGCGGCAGCGTCCGACACCAACACGGCCAACCAAGTGACAGCGACACGCATGGGGTGTGGGGCAATCGAGGACAAGCTACGAAACAGTCATGGGAGGGATAAATGGGATGATGAGCGGAGGGACGTACCTGGAACGTGCCAGCTTCGGAGCCAATCCGCTCGCGAAGCTCGTTCCAGCGCGGGGCACCGTGATATCTCATTGAATTTTCGCACGGACGCTGTCGTGAAATCGAGGAAAGATCGTGAATAAAATGGACCACATTGGTTCGGGAAGATATTAACAGAGTCGGGAGCTCAAGCCAGTGACGAGAGGAACTCTCAGTCTAGGGACTATGTGGGAACCAAGTGGGCGCTGGAAACGGTCACGTGTTCACAATCGCAAGATCACTGGAAATCGCCTCAAGCCAAGGCCGTCTCTCATCGACTTGTTTTACATTGAATAGGTTCGCAATCTTGAGTGTTGAATTTCGTAGAGGGCCTGGACTACCAAGAGAACAAGAGCGAATGCGTGGCCGTCCACCAAGTCACACCGAGGTGTGACACGGTGACGCTAGTCACTGCCCTATGCGCACTGATGAGCACCGACCCCGTAACAGCGATCATATGTAACTCTTTCCACCTCTCACTTGCAAGGGTCGCCCTTTGACTTTCGCACCTTCCGGTGATGGCGTATGAAGGAAAACGCCAGCGCAACCGTCCAAACTTCAGCTTTCTGCTCTCACTACCCGTTTTGCACAACCTTGTGCTTCTCGTCGGGCACTGCGTACAGTTGCGCATCAGCGCCAGCCTCTCGTACGACGCATGCCAGTAAATTACCCGCTCAGTGAACGACATTCCGTGACACGTCTGGAGAGGAGGGATTGGAACGCGAGCCTCTTCGGGTCGCTGGGCTGCACATGGTTACCCGCTCGATTACAGTTTTTCCACCGTCCCATTCCCTCCTTTTGCGGGCCACAGGCAACCGATCTATGCAGAACGGGCAGAAACAGTGCCTAGAGAGGCTGGCCCTTGTCACGAACGATGAAATGGAGTGGTGCGGTTCCCGTCGAAAGGACCTCTGTCCTTGACGCTCATGGTTTCCCCCGGCTCAGGAATGTTCCCTGCTCGACGTGTTCCGCTGCTCTGCGCCGTATAAAAGACGAGTGCAGACGACCCAGAGTACTCATCGAAGGTCTCCTCTGCCCACCGATACTCAGTCTTAACAAGCCTTTCGACAATGGTCCATCTCAACCTTCTCGCAGCCGTGCTTTCTGCCCTTGCTCTCGTATCGAGCGCCGCGTCTATCAGCGGGCCTGGCTCTGCACGGGACCTCAGCAGCGTCGAGATCGTCACTACGCTTCCCGCTGGGGCCACCGCCTTCGGATCGGACAACGACACGGACTGGACCGTCGCGTACGACAAGGACTTCAAGGCGCTCGGCCGGCTCAAGAACGAGGACTTCCATGCGCTGATCCACCCGGACGGCAACTCAACCCAGCTGGCCGCTAGGAACGTCGCGCACGGTCGTCGTTGCACCGAGCTGTCCGTCGGCGAGCTCCGGAGTCGTGCGTAGCCATTCGCCCCGGCTGAGCTGTGTTTTCCGACCGCATTTTCAGTCCCTGTCTGGTCCAACCTCGACCACTACGTCAAGAACACACTTGCCTCCAGGGGCAGATACAACGTCTGGACGAACTGGGTACAGCTTCTTCCATGCGTTCACGAGAGTGGCAGTCTGAAGTGTTCCGGCAGGACGGCTCGAACCGGGCCACGGCCTGTGTCGCCGACGACCATGTCTCCATCGAACGCACGGGCAGAGCTCAGTGCAAGACCGGCGAGCGGACCTTCAACGGCAACCACGTCGGGCGCACTGGCGTCCTCAGACTTGAGGCCATGACTGGATCGGCCACCACGGTCAAGGAGTCTGTCACCAGTTGAGGCTCAATGCGACTCGGCTGTGATTACAAGCTCTGACATGTTCGTGCAGGAGCCGCGAGCATCGGGTCGCGTTACACTGTTCCGAGCATCGACTTCGACATCCCTTGCATCGGCGAAGCTAACTCGCCCTACCGCGATTCCGCCTCGTTCAGCAACGAGCTCCACAAGGGGTGACTGCGGCTGCCTCCAGCACTTGGTCTCAGACTCACTTCTTCCAGCTTTGAGAAGACCATCAGTAGGGAGCACACTCGCTCTGTCGATGTCCGCTCGGAGCCGGGAGACTACTGCAGCATGATCGTCAGCCACGACTTTCCTTGCCCCCGATTTCGTAGCGTTCTAACGAACACCCAGGTTGAAACCACCACCTGCCAGCAGGAGTCCCGTGGACGTGTAGGCTTCGTGGCGGATGGCTACGTGCGCTTTGGCTTCGACTCTCGCGTCAAGAACCACTCGTACTGTGCGTGACTCCCTCTTTACACATTCATTCTGCTGACCAGTCTCTGCAGGGCACTTGCCTCTCGCCCGGGAATCCGAGGATACGCGCACCTCGTACATGGAGTTCACTGGATCCATCAGCTCGCACGGATATGGCCGCTACCGTTCCGAGTGCCGCAAGTAGAGGCATACACATGCACACTGGGACATTACATCGCCTTTGATCTTTCTTTCTACTTCTACCATGTACTTTGGACTGTGATTTGATATGAATGTTGTCTTGTGAGGGGACACTGTCCCTCTCACCCACCCGAGCCTGGGCCCATCATTGATCTCCGCCCTTGATTGTCCCGGACAAGCGAAGCATGGATTTTTATGGCCATACACTTGAACGAAAAATATGTGGCGGATTTGATTTTGCACACGTTGTGGATGGACTGCAGCTAGTTCTAGCAAACCACAAATTGATTGTCAAAAGTATACACAAGAATTTCCGAGGCACAGATTGATCCATCAGCGCAGCTCGGTCATCCCATCCACCTTTATCCCCCAAAACTGCATGGGACATACGAGAGTTTGATTTCGAGAGGGTCAAATGATGCTTTTGAGGGCCTTGAGTACAATGGGCAGACCACCCGTAGACACCCGTCCACCCTTCCCATCGGACGCAAACGAGACCGGCCGCTGGAACAGCTGCGAAATCTCCGGACCGACGGGCTCTGGACCAGGCATGAGCTCAAAAGCCCGGAGGAGGCTGAACAGAACCGCTTTCTGTCTGCACGCGAAGTGATAAGCGTGTGCGCCAAGGACGAGTGACATTGGCTTACTCGGCCATGGAAAACCGGAAGCCCATGCAGCTGTGAGCACCGCCGAGGAAGGTCATCTGGTGGCCCCAGATTCCGGGCATGGAATCCACGGCATCTGGGAGGTCATTCCACCGTTCGGGTCTGGAACGAGGATAATCGAATACTTTCCTGGGAACTAAAACAATGACACTCACTTGAATTCGAGCGCATCCTCGCCCCAAATCTCCTTGTCGGTATTCATGGCCAGCAGTGGGATCGTGAACAGCTGCCCTTTCGGGACACTGCAATCTGTCGGTCACTGCGTGCACACTAGAACACGAGAACACGTACGGAATACTCTCATGGGACACACCCCAACGGTCCACAAACGGTTTTTTCAACGGGAGGACATCATCATTCAGTGCCTCACGCTGAGAAAACACTGCGGGGGTGTAGAGTCTCAGAATCTCTCTCAAAACAGTCTCGAAGTAGGGCAACGCGTTGAGCTCGTCCATGGTCGGGGTATCGGTTTGTACGGTGAGTAACTCTTGACGAAGCTTTTCCTGAACCGATGGATGCTCGGACAATGCATGAGCGGCCCAGCCCAGCGCGGCGCTGCTGGTCTCATGTCCAGCAAGCAGGAATGTCGGAATTTCTGAAATGTCACATATGTGACGGATGAGTTCAGCTCGGCCCACAAGCACGTATCATGACCGCGTACGAGAGATGACTTCTGCGTCGGTCAGCTTTTGGCTGTCTGGAATATCTGCCGACATATTCGCTTTGACCAGAATGGACAGCAAATCACGCCCTGACCCCAGTTCCTTCTCGCCCATTGCTCGTGCCTCGGCTTGAGATTTCTGCAAAAGGGCTGAACCAACCGTATGAAGCGTCTTCTTCGCGAACTTTGCGTTTTGTCCACCAGGTAGCGGCTAGAAGATGGCTGATTAGCAAGGACTCGAGTCGCTCGGAGTCGAGTGTCTCTGGCGCTGTGTGTCACTTACGAGAAGCTTGAGAACCGGAATAGTAGCCTGGGCAAGCTGCACAGCTCGATAGAAGTTGGCGTTTGGTACGCTGATCAACCCGCTGAAGGCCTTGCTCAGGTCCCCTTCATTCTTGCCGTTTGATTCGAGAGACTGAAAATTGTATCCAAACCCTAGCATGACTGATCGATGCGGGGATTCATGGACTCGAGACAAACAGACGCACCGGTCGCTCCGATGATATCCAGCGTAACTCGGCGGAACATCTCAGCCAAGTCAACGGTTGCGGTTCCGCCGGCTTTATCGACATCCGCAGCCAACAAGTCTCGCAACTGCACCGACTGAGCTGGAAAGTCCAAGCGAAGACAGAAAGGGCTTACCAAGACTGCCTTCTCCACGAAGACCTCGTTCATCATACGAATTTGCTGGATATTGAACGCGGGGAGCTTGGGTAGTTCTCAGAGCCAGAGCGATTCAAGCCGCCATGATTCCGCAAACTTACCAGAATTTTGCGCTGTACGCATCCACAATATGAGTGCATAGCTCGCGCAAAAACGATTGTGAAGGCATACCTGACGCTTATGCGGATCCGCTTCGACAGACAGAATCCCTTTCCCCAGGATTCTGCTTAGACTAGCCATCAGGTCGAACGGCTTGGGGTACAGCAAGTTATCGCCGAGGATATGCGCAACAGCTTTGACGTCCTTGATGTGCAGGTCGTTTGCCTACCAGTGCGCTGATGTGAGTGACACTTCCATACATCTAAAACAATCTCGTACCCCAAACATGCCTTTGGTCATGAACATTGAGCCATACTGCTCGCGCCATTTGTCCCCGATCTCTGGCACGTCCTGTCGGGTATTCAGTTGCGACAACCTGGATAACAGGAAGCATCCACACAGCGACCACGATTGAGTGCCCGGTCAAAAAGTTGAACGAGGAAGGGCCGTCCACAAACTTCAGTGGCGACGTCCAAGTGCGGTAGAGCGAGCGAGCGACATAAAAAACGACGTAGGAGAGGAGGGTGACAGTTGTCGGGACCACGATGTTGTAAATCATCTTTCGCTAGCTAAAAATGAATGATGGTTTGCAATGAACACCGTAAGATTCTTGCTTAAATAGTTTTCTTACACCTACAGCCAGAGCAGGCAGAATGCTCTGCGACGGCCCGTAGAGTCAGAAAATATTACCCGCTTGCTTTTTGGAACCGGTTTGCTAAGTAAGAGATCGGGCATCCGTGGCGAATCTCGTCATAAAAAATTACCTGAGCGGAAAGGAAGATCACTTCTAAATGTGCCATCTTTTGAGATAATGTGAGGGAAGGGTTCGGCACATGTTGATCCGATTTCGCTAGCCCAGCGTCCACCGGGACCAATTAAATGATTCACTGCCAACTTGCTGCAGTGCAGCAAGCCCTGCGTTTCTGGAGCCCGGTTCTTTGGGACTGTGATCAGATACGCGACTCAGTAGGCATTCATTGCTGATAAGATTATGGAGAAGGCAGATTCATCAAGTCCGACGGCGCGCATCAAGTTGCGGAGCATTTCGGATGAAAAGGTCACCTGGGAACCTCGAAGAATGACGAAAGGGGATCAGGGCATGCGCGGGAGTACCAAAGAAGCACTCCTGCGGTAGAGTTCCGCTGCTGATCATGACCTGTTGTGCTGACTCGTTCGGCGGTGTTTCTGAACTCCATCACATCAACATTTCTCCTGCTTGGTAAAAGAGCCAATCTGGGCTCTTATAATGTGTGAAGAATCTGTGGGCGAGGGAGTTTATAGGGAATGGCTGAAGCCGATTCCTTGACCTCCTTGCTCTACGAAATTCTTTCCTCTTCGTGAACGATACATAGTTCATGGTTAGATTTCCGATATTTTCCAACATGAAGAGAAAATTTCTGCGACGAGTTTGGCCGATGCTTCAACCGAGGTTGCGTCACGTTATGGGGTGCGACCTTAGTCACATTTGGAAAGCGACACCGCCACCTTGATGGCTGTGTAGTGTCAGTGGGAATAAACTCCATCAATATCGAGCAGCTGCCACATCTCATTCCCCCGCTCAGATCCCCCCGCTCATGGCGGAACGCATCCGACGTCAGCGCAGCCATCCTGTTTCTTATATTCCTGGACGGCCTGTTTTGCATAATTATCTGCTTCTACTCCGCGACTGCGCACGGTTTTGTGTCAGAACCAACTTCTCTTTCAACAAATTGCAGTAACCAACCTCCCTGAACGGCGAGCCGCCCCGATACGTCGGGGGATAAAGGAATGGAACAGGATTTCTCTTTGAACCCTTTGGTTAGACAAGGTTATTCGTCTTGTTTGCGGATTTCTTGCAGTGTTCAGGGTTCTCCTTATGTGACTGACAGGAGGTCGACGCATGGAAAAAGACTCTCAAAATGCCTTTGGAGGTTGACGCTCACCATGAAAGAGGAAATCAGGGAGGTCTGGGCATGTCGAAAAGGCCTCTGTCCTTCACGCTCACAGCTTCCGTCGGCTCGGAAGAAAATTGTCACCCGACTCCGTGTGCCGCCGCTCCGCGTTGTATAAAAGACGACCCGGACGACCCAGAGTACTCATCGAAGGTCTCCTCTCCCCATCGATACTTGGTTCTCATCAGACTTTCGACAATGGTTCATCTCAACCTCCTCGCTGCTGTGCTCTCTGCTCTTGCTCTTGTCTCCAGCGCTGCGTCCATCAGCGGGCCTGGCTCTGCCCGGGACCTCAGCAGTGTCGACATCGTCACTACGCTTCCCGCTGAAGCCACTGCCTTCGGATCGGACAACGACACGGACTGGACCGTCGCGTACGACAAGGACTTCAAGGCACTCGGCCGGCTCAAGAACGAGGACTTCCATGCGCTGATCGACCCGAGCGGTAACTCGACCCAGCTGGCCGCCAGACAGGTGACGCGTGGTCGTCATTGCACCGAGCTCTCTGTCGGCGAGCTCCAAAGCCGTGCGTAGGCAGTTGTTGCGGTTCGGCTTTGTTTTGCTCATGGACTTTTCTCTTTTTTATAGTTCCTGCTTGGTCCGACCTCGATGGGTATGTCAAAGGAAGTCTTGCCTCTCGAGGCCGATACAATGTCTGGACAAACTGGGTATGCCTTGCTCCCTACGTTCACAGAAGTTGCAGTCTGAAATATGCCTGCAGGACGGTGCGAACCGAGCCAGGGCCTGTGTCGCCGACGACCACGTCTCCATCGAACGCACGGGACAAGCCCAATGCAACACCGGCGAGCGGACCTTTAACGGGGACCGTGTCGGCCGGAGCGGTATCCTCCGTCTGGAGGCCCTGTCTGGATCGGGAACGACGATCAGAGAGTCTATCACCAGTTGAGAAACAAGATGTTTCGAGTATGACGGTTCCCCTTGACACCTTCATGCAGGAGCTGCAAGCATCGGGTCGCGTTACACCGTCCCAAGCATCGACTTCGACATCCCCAACATCGGCGAAGCCACCACGCCCTACAGGGACTCTGTCTCGTTCAGCAACGAGCTCGGGAAGAAGTGACTGTGGTCTCCTCCGACACTTGGTCTCAGCCTAACTTCTTGCAGCTTTGAGAAGACCATCAGCAAGGAGAGCACCCGCTCTGTCGATGTCCGTTCGGAGTTCGGAGACTACTGCAGCATGATCGTCAGTCGAGACTTTTCATGTCTGCAGTGACATGATCTTCTGACGAGCACTCAAGGTTGAAACTACCACTTGTGAACAGCAGTCCCGTGGTCGTGTAGGCTTCGTGGCGGATGGCTACATCCGCTTCGGCTTTGACTCTCGTGTCCGGGACCACTCCTACTGTCCGTGGCTCCGTCCTTGAAATCAGCTGATCTTAACGATTGAAATCCTCTGCAGGGCACCTGCCTCTCTCCCGGGAGTCTCGGGACAAGCGCACCTCGTACATGGAGTTCACCGGCTCGATCAACTCGCACGGATATGGCCGCTACCGTTCCGAGTGCCGCAAGTAGAGGCATCCGGGAGTTCCATACATATTCGGCCTATAAATCGCCTTCGATCTTTCTTTCTACTTCTACCATGTACCTTGGACTATGACTTGATATGAATGCTGTCTTGTGGGGGGATTTCATCCTTCTCATCCCCCCATGCTGCATTGTGCCCACACTTTGAAACTCTGAACATACCCAGAAAATTCGGTCAATGACCCCCCGATTCTCAAACAAAGTGATTGTATGTCGAATACCGACCGGGTGGCCTGACGACTCGGCAATCCTCCAGTGGAGTCTCAGGCCGGTTTTCTCTACCCAATGAATCGCTTAAGCCTATTCTCCGTTGAAATAGAATGTTCGAGTCCAGATCGTCCCGATACAGTGGGGCCAAAATTTTGCCCATCTTACCTTCTCTCTGCTTGCGGCGCGTTCAGCATCAGCTCAGAGTCACATGTTAATTGGAAATACGAAATCAACCGGAATCTGATCTGAGTCGTGTTTTTGTCTCACTGCGATCGAATTATTCATTTCAGACCAAAACCCTCCTTCATGAAAGAGGAGGAAAAACGCATTCTTATCTTCGCTACTCAATTTCAACTGTCACGCACGGCGGCGCGTCACAGAGCGTCACATCAGTGCCTGGATCGCGCACGGTCGCGTGAAGGTCGCCCCACCCCGGGATACCGAAGTCGGCGTCCCTTTTTTCGCCTCCATCATCGCACGGATTCGCACCATGGCCGATTCCACGCTGCGACAGCGCAGGCCCGCCGAACAGCCCTCAGCCGTATGTCTCTGCTCTCCCGCTCCGGCGGTCCTTCCTCGAGAACTAAGCAGCGTTGCATTCAGCCGGCGGAGGGCGCGACAAAAGAAAGGGAGAAGGGCAAGGAGAAGGGGAAGAATGAGGAGGGCGGTCTCTTGGCGTTCATTGGGCTCGTCGGCGGTGTGATTGTCATGATCAGCTTGGCTGTCGTCGCAGGGAAGACTTTGTACAATTCCGTGCGTCCCTCTGACTGGATCGCTCTCTCCCCCTCGATGACTGAACGCTGCGTTTCTCGGCCGGCAGAACCCAGGCGAGTTCTTCAAGCCCAAAGCCAACGCCGTATGGCAGGCAGTGCCAGGCGTGGAAGAGCCGTGGGAGGTCGACTTCTCTGCGGACACCGAGAAGCGGGATGCGGTGGTGCGCGCGTTCAAGGTGCATGCACTCCTACTGCATAGTTCTTTGAAGCGCCCGAGTATTGACAGGTGCACAGCACGCGTGGCAGGCTTATTCGCGGGACGCCTTCGGCTCGGACGAATACCACCCACTCAGCCGGCGTGGCTCGAACTTGACGTCTGCTGGAGGTATCGGGTACACCGTGATCGATGCGATCGACACGATGCTTGTGATGGGGCTAGATACCGAGTATCGACAGGCCCGCCGATGGGTCGCGGAGAAACTCGACTTCGACAAGAATGGGGAGGTCAGCACGTTCGAGGTCTGGGTTTTCTTCTTTCGGACTGTGTGCAGTATGATTCAAAACGCGTCTCTCTGTAGACGACCATCCGTGTTCTCGGCGGCCTGCTCTCAGCATACGCTCTTTCTCCTTCAGAGGACGACAAGAAGCTGTTCCTCGCTCGTGCGACCGATCTCGGCGAGCGCATGCTCCCTGTATTCAACAGCCCGTCCGGGCTGCCGTACTCCTTCGTCAATCTCGCTGAGCGCAAGGGCAAACCAGAGCCAGGTCTCGGGATGCTCGTGAGCACCGCTGAAGCCGCCTCGCTGCAGCTCGAGTTCCGGTACCTGGCTCACCTCACAGATCGCGGCGAGTTTTGGGACAGGGTGGAGAAGGTCATGGACGTGATCCGAGCAGCTAGGGTGGGCGACGCCTTGGTGCCGATCTTCATGAGGTGCGCTGCGGGTTCTCTTGTCCACACGCGAGGCTGAGGAATCCGCAGCATGCCTGCTGGGAAGTTCATGAATGCGGAGATCCGCCTTGGATCTCGAGGAGACTCCTACTACGAATACTTGCTGTGCGTTTCTTCATTGGTGCTCTCACCGAATGAAATACTCAAGGGTTGGTCAGTAAGCAGTATATCCAGACTGTACGTTTCCTGGGTTCCGGGTGGCGCCTGGCTG